TATAGAGCTAGATATGGTTTGGTTTCAAAAATGCGATAAAGTTGGAAATTGGAAGAATTTCCCTTCCTTGTTGACTAAATGGTCGAATCTATTTTGGGAGGTTATATTTTAAAAATTTTAGTGTCATTTAACCATCAATTGTTTATTAAATGTTTCTAAAACTTTGGTTTCAAAATTGGAGCGAATTGAGGCTGATTGTGTTGGACAAAACGTTTCAAAAGAAAGAAAAGCAAGATGGCAGATTAGCTTTGAAACATTTTACAAACTCTGGTTGTTTCATTAACTGCTTTCTCGTACGAGTTTTTACCTAAATTTTGGTTATATGAAAGTTTAAGTGTACCAGATTTGGTGTGATTTCAATGCCATTTCGATACTCAAATAATGCCCCAAAGATTTCTCCTCAAATCTGGAAATTCACTGAACAGGGTACAAAAACCAATCAACTTCCAACTGTTGTATCTTGTTGTTCGAAACTCCGAATTTGGTTCTGCTTGCGGTGTTTGAAACTTTGTATGGGACTCTTATTGTATTACAAATTTCAAAGGTTAGTTCACTTTCTGGGAATTTTATCGAATTTCCAAACATTGCCGAAAACCAAGACTGGTTCTGTCTTGCTTTCTTGAATCAGCAATTTTGAGCTGAAAATGAATGCCTTCCGTTTGGAATCTTGGAAAAGTGTCTTCTAGAAACTTTTAGTATCTTGAATCTAGTTTCCAACGGTATAAATGTTTTCATTTTTGGACATACCAAACTCAAGATCTGATTTTCTAAGTTTTGTCGCGTAAAGCTGAAATTTTCTAGTTTCTTAAGAAACTAACTTTTAAGAACATTCAACTTCCTTTTGAGTTGATGGTTCATTTTAAACTTGATTTCATTGAGGATACAATTTTTCCTTTGTACTTGATGTTTCCTTGGATTTAAATGAGAAACCTTAATGTTCTTTAATTATGCTTAGTTTTTGACCTAGAACCTGATTCCTCATGGTTTCATTCTTACTTTTAAACTTTAAGTTTGAAAAGGCTTGATTCAAGGTTATAATTACTCGCTTTATTTTTTAGTATACATTTGAGAATTTATATACCAACCTCTCATTTCTTCACTTTTTAAGTACAAAAATCCTAAGGTCTTGTTTTTCACTTTCATATAAATTTGTTGGTCCTTACCTCAGGACTCGAGGGTAATCAAGGGTGTTATCTAGGAACCGAGACATATCGCACGTAACTGTGAGTGTTCCTCGTGTGTGTGGGTGACTTGAATAGTCTTACTACATGTTTACTTCATATTTATTGTATGTTTAAGTGTTAAATGCTCCCTATAATTGCTCCTATGTAATTTTTCACCGTTTTAAAGTGAGTGTGTACTTTATCTCACTCGACCTACTAAAATAACAAATTTCTACCGTTTAACCTTAAATTTCTACCGTTTAATGGTTTATTTGATTACTTGCGCATGTTGTAAGCTCTTAGCTGAACTGGATCCTGCCCTTGGTGTGATACCCCGACTTTTAGGATATTACGGTTTCTATATTTTATTTTTGTTTTAAGACATTATTTTGTTTTAAAGAGTAGAAACCCTACTTGTACTCAAAACCCTAGTTTTACTTGTGACTAACAAGTTTTTCTTAAATCCTTCAGATTTTACTCAAAACCCTAATTTTAATCTGTGGAGTTTTAAATCTCTTATATTTTTCTTAAAATTCCCTTTAATTTGGAATTTATTACTTTACACTAGCTTTACTACATATTCACTTCTTCAATAGCTACAAATAATTATAGAAACACTACAAGAAATTTGGCCTTTTGTGACAACATTCTCTGTGACAACATAGAAACTTGTCACAATTGAAGACTTTAGTGACGACACTAAAAGTCGTCATGCTTGATTGTGGGTTCACCCGTCAACTGTGACAGCAAGGGATATGTCATCACAATATGGATGGCGCGCAACTATGCAGTCTAACGGGAGATTACCATTGTGACGACTGGAAAAGACGTTGTCACTGTAGGACCAACTTTAGTGACACCTTTTTAATATCGTCACAATATGGTGACACGTTTTAAATTAGTGACAACAAGTAGTCGTCACTGTACAAAGCATTTATTCTCATCCCACTTTCACTAATTCTACTATGTCACCCTAATATTTTCAATATGGCCCATATATTGTAAATAAATTTTATTAATTCTATTATGGCACCCAAACTTTTGCTTTTTGACCCCATATACCACCTTAATTTTTTCAATATGGCCCATGTGTTATAAATAAATTTTATTAATTCTACTATGACACCCTAAATTTTACGTTTTAGCCTCATATACCACATTAATTTTTTGATATGGCCCATGTGTTGTAAATAAATTTAATTAATTATGTTATTTCGCTGAACTTTTATATTTTAGGCCCATATTTGGTAAACTAATCTCATTAACTCTACCATGACACTAGTGTCTTTTGCAATTTAGTCTCGTATGCGATAAAGAAAAGTTGTATTAATTCTATTATGGCACCCTATGCTTTTACACATTAGGTTGTGTTCATCATTAGCAAAATGAGGAAGGTATTGTAAAAAAAGATGTTTATCTATTTTTTAATTATTCCAAACGTAACTAATACCTAGTTATAAATTTAAAAAATATTATGAATTCATTATTTAGTTCTCTTGACAACATATAGGAAATTACTGATTAACATAGTCTGAAAATAATGGTAGAGAATAATAAAATTTAATATGAAATTAAGTAAAAATCTTGACAATTGCATGTCTGGAGTTTGTTATGTATTACAATTTACAATAATCAAATTGGATCTACGGTTAATGAATCAGTACTTGTATCAAATAGATTTAGTGTTTCATGCATGTATTAGTAAACCATTTTGGTTATTTGATCAACTAAACAGATTGTTTGATCTTGTCAGACCACACTTCGTGCATAATTGATAACATTATTAAATTGATAACAAAAATATTTGCCTTTAAAGATCTTTTTTTGAATCATAAACATATTTGTAATAAGCCTTTTAGTTTTTGAACATTATTTTTGGTAGAGATCCTAATGTTGAGATGCTTTGATTCAAGTTTTCGACCTTCGCTGAGCTGCTCGGTAAAAATAAATTTTCAAAATTTAGTAAAAAACCTATGTTAATAAAAAAAAGAAAAAAAATTCAATAAACATTATTTTGAACATTAATAAAATTTTTAAGAAAATCCTATTTAATAAAATTTTTAGTTTTTGAACATTATTTTGTCATAGAGATCCAAAAAAAAAAAAACCTATGTTAGTAAAAAAAATCCAAAAATATTAAAATTTCATATTCTAAAGTTTTAATATAACAAATAAAGTTTTAATACAACTTGTGAGTTAAAAAAGTTCAAAATAATAAACAATCTTAATTACACATAGATGGGAGAAAAAAGAGACACTAGAAAAGGCGTTATTTTTATAAAGAAAGGTTCAAATAGTTTGTACAAAAAAGGATGAAAGCGTTACTTTTTGTGCTAAGTTAAAATGGAAGCGGGAAGCTGAAAATTCAAGGTGTAGAGGCGGGTGAACAAAATGAGATAGAAACAACGTCGTTTTGGCAAGAGTTAAACTAAAACACTCACACCACTTATCATTTATTCTCTCTCATTGAAAATTTTCAGACCGCATTTTCTTTCTCTCTCGTTGAAAGTTTCGGACATTATCATCTTCTCCATTTCTTCTTATGCTTTACTGTTATCTTGCAGAAATTATCCACAAAAACACTTTAAATTACCTTTTTCATCCCTAATTTGAGCTACTCAAAGGATTTGGGCAACTTTAGTGACCTCGCAAATAGCAAAAATCCCTAGATTGGTGCTGCACTTGCTTGCTGGCAAGAACACAGAAAATTGGTCGTGAATTTTGGGGGAAAGCCAGAGTTCGAAGACTGAATCTTAAGGAAAACAAGAGCTAAGGGAGTGAAGGCATAATTTGAGGTATATAATCTCAATATTTTCCATCTAATTTCGATATTTTTTTTGTCAAATGTAGGTCGGATAGACTGAATCTTGAGTTTATAGATCAAATTTTCCACTTAAATCTTTCAATGGTGACATATTTGTTACAATTACCTCATCTTTGTTCTCTTCTTCCTTTTTCTGGAAAATTTTCAGAGAGTAGATTGATATATCTACCGTCTGATAATGAGTTTGAGAGAGGATTAGGAGCTCAGGAACCTGATGAGAACTGGTTTGATATTTGAAGTGGCAGAGGAGTTTGAATTGAACTCCAGATATGTTGAATCCACAATTTCTTATGGTAAGTGACCTATTATTTTATGTCTTTATTTTTACCCTTGGCATCAATCTCCAGAATTTTAGTTGTTTCTATGGTTTTGGTTTGGGTTGTATTATCGGTTTTTATGTCTGGTTGTAGTATTGTCCAAATCTGTTTTGATTTATATTGAATTAGTAATGTCTTTAAGATAAATATGCCTCTTTAACGCTGTTATTCTAGTCATCCTTGTACTAATGTCTTTGTAATTTCAAATACAAGTTGTCTTGGGAACATTGTTTGCTGCTTTGGTCCCTGTTTCGGGCTTTAATCCGGTCATGGCATCCGAGCATTTTGCTTCATTTTTGGTTAGTTCCAACTGGCTGGTTTTCCTGCCATTCTTGCTTTCTCATTCGCTATTACTGTAGTCAGGGATTCGCTTTTACTTTTTTTATGCTTCTCAATCTTTTTAAATTTATGCCTTATGTTGCTTTTAATCTCTAATTTTACTTTTCCATTCTTGGGCATGTACAGGTGTTTATTATTATTCGTGTTGTAGCTCTTGTTTACTATATTAAAGGGATTCTATCACTAAGAATGTTAAAAGTGTTGTTAGGCTTGTGTTTTCAGTTGGCGTGTAAGTGTCTTTACTTGTAGTTTGTAAAGAAATTTGCTTGTTGTTATATTGTGTAAGTAGTAGCTAAGAGTTTCATAAAATTTTTTTGGTTGACTTAATTACTTGTCATTCAAATTTCAGGGTAATTTGCTATGCCATGGTGACTGTACTTATAGCATTAGTAGCCTCCAGCGCAACTAAGGGTTGGAGTGGGCGTAGTCTAAGTCTGCTTGATCCGTGAGTCTCTTCTGTCTGTCGAATTCTAGTTGCGAGTTCATGATTTGCTTGGAATCTATCGAAGTAGTTTCAAGGCAAAAGAAGTAACCAAACTTGAAATTTGATGCTTTAACTTTATACATATAGTTTTCTCTGGTGGAGTGGCTACTCATATCCAATCTATCTTGTTTGCAATTGCAGGCATGCTTTTTGCCACTTTCTGATGCAAGCTCCTTTAGCATCCTTTACATAGTTACATTAGTATATTTTTCAGGTGTCATGGTGAGATTAATTTGAAATATGTAAGCTTAATACTATTCTCTCTTAGCTTCCACTATGTTGAGCAATTCTCTTTTGCTATTACAGGTGCCACTAATGCTTGTACTTGGTCCAGCAGTATGCAAAATGCCTGGAATTTCTCTTTCAGGAGCTTTTGATGTTCTTACTTATTCGCTCAAATTTCAGTTGCCTAGTACATCAGAAATTTTTACATCCGATTAGAGAAGGTCTTTGGTTTTACCTGTTGAAGCATCTGTCATTGCTATATTTTTACTAGTTTTGTTGGTTGCGTTCTATGTGGTATGTATGCTTAATTTGGTCTAGTAAAAGAGGAATTCTTTTATCTTTTTGTTTGTTACTAGTTTGCTGCTCATGACTGAGAAAAACCCAATTGTAGCTGTTATGAATGTGGTAGCATTTTTTCCCATAATAAAAAGGTATTGTCAATGTAATATTTAGACCTTTCTTTTAGTCATGCCATTCTGAATTACACATTTTTTTGCAAATTTAACTCCAAATACTGTAATATAACCTGTGAGTGCTTTCTGAAAAGTTCGCAAAAAGATTGAGATGAAAACAACACTTAAAAGTTTGGTTGTACTTTTTGGTCCTTATGCTAGATTTCCACGTTGTTCTTTGGCTTCCTGGTTGAGCTCTTCACTGTTTACAGATGATTTTTCATGTAGGTTCATTGTGTCTGGGCAGCAGCAGAAGCATGTTCAATACCCTTCATAGTGTTAACAAGTCAATCTCATGATGGCCTTCGCATTTTTTATGACTTCAAAGAGGACTATGCATGGTTGAGCCATAACACAGATGTAGATCATAAAGTGAGTTGTCATTCTTTCCACAATATATATCTTCACAAATTTTAGTAATTTTTGTTGCACCTAGTGTATACAATCCACACAAACCAAAGTCATGAATAGAAATTCAAGTGGAAATATGAACCAGTGCCACAAGGCAAGCTGGATGAAGTTAGCTATTGGAAGAAAGAGAAGACCTTCTGTACATAAGGCTGAAATCTGCAATTGGCAATGCTGTTATATTGGATCTTTGTTTTCCTCTTGAAGTATAAGCCTTTGAATAAGGAAGAGTTTTGATGTATGCTTGGTGAATTGAAACTAGTATCTTAGTGAGACCTTAAGCACTTGAGGATAATTTATTGGAAAAACAATTGGTCAAGTTAAATGGAGTTCCTGGAAATAGTTGATAGTATTGGATTCTTTTCTACAAAACAGAGTGTTAGCTTGTATTGAGTGCACTAACAAAGCACATGCGCATTCTTATTTTGTTAAGAAAAATTATTCAGGTTATTATATGAAAACAAAAGCATAGACGTTGCATGATTTTCAAAGCATAGGCAAACTGGAAAAAGCATCCCGAAAGGCACATGTTTAGTAATACATAGTGCTCTTGTAGACATTGCATGTTTAGACATTATCTAAAAACACTAAACTTTCATATTCTAAAGTTTTAATACAACTTGTGAGTTAAAAAAACTCAAAATAATAAACAATCTTAATTACACAGATGGGAAAAAGAAAAGAGAGATATCAGAAGAAAGGTTTTTTTTGTAAAGAAAGGTTCAAATAATTTGTACAAAAGAGGCTAAAAGCATTAATTTTTGAGTTTGACATTGTAAAAGAAAAATGTGAGACATTGTGAGAGTTAAATATTAGAGTAGTCTTGTCGATATTGCTACTTTGAAAGATTTATTTTGTTTGATTGCTCATGCTTGAACGGTTAAAGACTAGTGTCATTTGATAAGAGGTTCCTAACTCCTTGTCCAATTCAAGAATCTCCTTTTGAATCTTGTGCTAGCAACTAGATAATCCAATGATTTAAATCTCATTCAATTGGAAACTTTCTACTTGACTTGATAAGGGGTAAACGATGTGAAAGTATAAGTTTTGATAAGTAATTGCGTCTTTTCACAAAATCACCACTCAAAAATCATGGGTAGCTATAAGAGAGGACTACCAGAAACTATAGCTAGCCAAGCAAAGCACCAGAAAGCTAACTAACAACTACCAATGTGCATAATGCAAAGCTAAGACTGTTCGGCTACCAAACCACCACACTACACTTTTGTCTACAGCTCATTAGTAGCCCTTTACTCAGGCATTTTGTAACTAGGGGGTTGTACGAGGAGTTGATTGCCCAAATGAAAGACTTGCACAAATGACAGACTGTTGGAAAGGTGAGCAGATAAATTTTTTGCATTTCCATTCTCTATTGCAACTACTGTCTTATTAAAAATTACATAGTTTTCTAGAAATTTGGTTTAGATACAATGGAGTATTGAAAATATCACAATGCAATGCATTGGGAATCATTTAAAATGGCATGTAGGTGGTAAGAAACTCAATTCATTGTTAGTTTCTTGTCCTTATAATCTGAACTTCTTGTCAACTTCTTGTACATAGCTTAAATTGGCATCTAAGCTCTCATGTGTTTGATTCTTTTACCTTTTATCATGCTGATTTTGTTTGAGTTTTGTTGAGTATGACTATTCATTCAAATTCAATGGTGTACATTTGTAATGGCATATTTTCTGATTGAAATCTACTCTAATGCATGATACTTTTGTTTCAATGCAGTATAGTGCTGTTAAATGCTCATGAGAAAATGAACAAAAGCTTGGATTTTGGATATGCTCATGAAGATGGCTTCATTTTGACATAGATTGCTACCGTAGTCCATGCTTTTGTTTAGTGATTTAGTACTCTATCTTTTGGATGGATAATGATTGTTACTATTTGAGCTGATGTGGGATCAATACTTAAGTTTTTTAGATGGATAATGGCTGTTAGAACTTGAACTGATGTGGCCTTTGGGACCTATTTTGGTTGATGTTTGTTTTTATAAATTTAGAGATGTTTATGATCATATATATATATATATATATTTCAGGGTTCATTGTGTGTTTAATGCTACAGTTTGTGGCATTAGTTGTACTATAATTTTTTGCTATGGTTGCTAGAAATACTACAGAAGTAGGCTTCATATGACAAATTTTGGACATTCTAAACTTAGCTTAGTGACAACATCAGGGAAGGTTGTCACTGCTGCAAATTCAACCAGTGACAACAATTCTTGTCACTGATGAACAGGACTACAAGTGACATGTGGAAGTCAACACTGTAGAGTCGTAATTTGTGACGACTTTTGCATTATCTATGACAAAAATATAGGTGAAGTAATGACAACAAAAGTCATCACAAAATACTAATAGTTAGTGACGACATTATCCTCGTCACAAAATATTATGAATTTGTGATGACCTAACTAAGGTTGTCACATAGACCCATTTGTGACATAGAATCTGTGACAACAAAGTGACAACAGAAAATTTTGTCATTGTTTCTTTTAAATGATGACTTTTTCAATTTTAGTGACGACATTTGGTGATCACAAAAGATTGATTTTCTTGTAGTGAAACAAGGGTTTCCTTTTTTACTTTCATCGTTACGATAAACTAGGGTTTTTACGTCTTTTCGTAGTATGAGAAATCGGTACGGAGTGTATACTAAATTTGGTGATTAAGAGTGAGTTTTAGATAAGAAAAAGTGTGTAATTAGAAGTAATAATAACAAGTTAGTGAATTATAAGTAAAAATTCTAGTACGTTCGAGTTAAGGAAAATGATTTATAAATGATTTTTGTACCTTCTCGTATCCGTCGGGTAATTTTAAAAGCATTTGTAGCGTTTAATTGAACTAGTCAAGTTTATTTGGTTGTGCAAACTATATTTGAGTGGAAATGAAGGGTTAATTGGCAAAACATTTGTTTTGAAATTATTGGATATTTGACTTTGACCAAGACTAGTTTTAGTTTTACCTTGGAAGCAAAATTTGACCAAAACATTTCATTCCTTTCTTACCTTTTGGCCGGCCATGGAGAGGAAATATCTCCTATCTTGGCCGAAATGTTTGACCAAGGAAAACTACTACAAGTTTCATGCACCAACTTGTTCCATCTTCTTTCATTTTTTTTTTCTTTTCCTTCTTGGTGGCCGGATGATAGAGAGAGAAAAATCAAGGCTACCATTGACTAAGCTTTCTTTAAAACTTGTCTTTCTTTTTGGATACAATACCATTCCATTTTCTTACCTCTTGGCCGAGAGAGAGAGAGAGAGAGAGAGAGAGAGAGAGAAGAGAAAAGAGGAAAATAAGCTTCAACTTCAACCACATTTCCATGCTTGAATCATGAGACTTCACCATAATCTTGCAAGTCACTCCATAGAAGTTGATCTTTAGGGAGGATTATGGGCTTGGGTGGACAGATTTTGGAGAAGGAAGCATTTGGTTGCCATATCTTCATAAGGTTTCAAGGTAACCATATCAAGAAAACGATCTATTCTTTTATTACTTGCACATGAGTGGATTTAAAGTTCGATCTTGGGAGATGTCATGGAAAATTTCATGGTTTGTGTGGTGAATCAAAATTTTCAGTTTTAGTTGAGGAATTTCAGTTTTAATATGCTAAAATCAGATTTCCTATGAATTATTAGCCTGCCATGTGATTTTTTTCTAGCTTTTATATATGTTATTAGCTTCCTTATAGAAATTCTAGATTTAAGTTCTTATACTGCCCTGTTTTGACCATGATTAGTCGACCATGATGGAGGCCGAATCAGCCTTAGGTTAAAACATAAAAGTTGTAAGAAATGATGTTTTATAGTTTTTTGCAAAATTTCAGCTCAATCCAAGCACTGTAGCATGTGAAATGACAAAATTACCCTTGTTTCCATAGGTATAGTTTTGTGGACAGTTTTGATATTTCCTCATTTTGGCTACATTTTTTCACCTTGATCCGTATCAAATTAGCCTTTGGCCAAAACACTAAACTTTTAGCCCTATGTTTCATCTTTCCAACGCCACTGAAAACACCTCAAACGGAATTGTGTAGCCTGAGTTATTGTCATTTGAATTCAGTACTGACAACCGTACTGAAAATGATATTTTGGTTCTGTAATTTGTACTTTTGACCTAGATCAATTGTGAACTGGATTGAGTGATCTCCATGAAAGTTGTAGCCCTTTGTATTAGCTTCATAAAGGTATAAATTTTACCTTAATCCAATAATTGTAGCTCTATTTGTGACTAAAATACTATAAGATGTTAAAGCTGCTAGTTCCTTTTTTGGCTTCAAAACTGATATTTAGTTGCACAATTGGACTTGT